AAAAAAAAAAAAAAAAAACTAATACAACAGTATTTAACATCCAAAAATCATTTATTGGTTTGGCATTCTTTTAGGTATTATATACATTAGATGTGGAAATTTATGAAACCATTATAAATCAAACTTAAGAAATGTGGAAAGAGCAATGAACAAAATCAAATTCTGAGCGGCAACTCCAAAAAAACCACAAAAAATAAATATAAATAACAGAGTAAAGCCGACGAGCCATCCATGTTTATCGTGAAATTATCCAACTCATGTTCCGGCACACCTTCTTTATTGAATTGAACATGAAAGATGGGAAGAAGCAAATAAATTAACAAGATCAATGAAAGGCACAATAACATTAATCTTAATTAACCTGCTGGCTTTCATCTCTCCACTTCAGCTGGAACCGGATTTTCTTCTGGTCCTTTAAAGCATCCCAAGTATCCAACGTAATAAGCCGCCAAGTGTAAACATCTGCATAAAATATCTGAGCTCTTACTTCCTCAAGATGCCGCAAACCATACATATCAAGGCTCCTGGCCGAACATTCGTGATTTATTCCGTGTCTGAGAAACAACTTAAAAAGGAAATCACTCACGCAAGGAATCCGATTGATTGTCGTGATGAACTTTGGGCGGCACAACCGAAACACGCAAGGAATCGGATTGCTTGTCTTCGAATTATGCTGAGTGACGAACTTTGGGCGGCACAACCGAAACAAACCATCAAAAAGAGCAAAACCAAGAGCAAAACCCATGAAAGACGAAATGTTGTAGTCCATGCCATCTATCGTCAACTCCTCGACTTGGTGCAGCGTCAAGCCATTGAACTTCCACACGTCATTATTGAAGCTACGTGTGTTGCCTACGTTTATCTCGTCTACTTCTATCAAGAGATGAATTTTGGAGTGTCTCAAATCGGTTAATAATTTATTCAACCCAATGACCCCCGTAGTACCAACACAACAACTCGACGGTATGGATAAATGAGACTCCCATTCCCTTAAATTTGTTGATTTAAAAGACAGGGAATATGGCAGAATCTCGAAGCTTTTAAACTTGAACTTACGAATACTTGGAACATCAAACTCGACACAGCTTACTGTCTTCGCGATACTATTTCTTTCGATGTGTAGATACTCGATGTTTAGATACTCAATTGTTGGGCAAGATATGAGTAAATTCCCTCGGAATGAGCAGTGATGGATGGATAAATCTCTCATCAAAGGGCATTTACACGATAAGTCACCAAAAAACGAGGTATTAATTCTCAGACGCCTCAGCTCCAGATGCCTTAACTTTGGCAAGTTAGGATGACTTATGGTATCATGTACTTTGAGTGACAGTTTTTCGAGCAAGGGGCAGCCCGAAAGTAAGCCAGAAACCACAGAAACCACTTCATCACTTTCATCATCACTTTCATCATCACTGTCATCATCACTTTCTACCCTGATGTAGCTTAAACTAAGGGCTTTGAGCCTCGGAAGTTGTACTTGATGCTGGGGATCAAGGGCGATTCTGCACCCACTCAGAGATAGTTCCACAAGGTCTTTGCATCCAAACACCTCAGCCGGCAGAAGAGAGCAGTAAGATGCATACGATTCACGAAGTACAAGGCTAAGACGAGTAACACCCATTCCCAATGCTTTAATCATCATTGTTTCACATGAACTATTCAACATATCCATTGTTAGACTGAAACTCTCAATCTTTAGGTTCGATTCTTCATACCTTTGAATGGTCTTCTCCATAAACTCTAAAAATTCATCATCATCATCATCATCATAATCAAAGTAAAAGTCGTATCTATTGAATTCCAAGTTGGGGCGAGTGAGCCAGGCTTGGTGCCAAGATTTAGACAGGACAGTTGTTTGCGCAGCTTCTCTTCCATTCAGAAAAGACTGTATGCGATGGATTATTTGCTCCGATAACAAAAACTCGCCGCGCGCGGCCATCATCATCACTTCAAAACCCTATAAACCCAAGAGCTTGTATGTATCTGTCCGCCGTATTTATATTTATATTTTAAAGGGATAATTGCAAAAAAAACCACCACATTTTGTTTAATTGCAAATAAAACTCAATTTTTTTAATTTGGCAAAAAAATATCTAACTTTTATTAAGTCTTGCAATTTTGTCTCGTCCGCCGGACTGCTGCCGCCAACCACCACCCGCCGCCGTCAACTTCACCGAATATTGAAAATTTTTATATGATCTTGTAGCTCTTTTCCGTGCCGACAACATATCCGAGTTTCACGAAAAAATTTTGACGATAAGACGTCCAATTTTCCGGTCAAAGGTCGTAGATCTAAATTTTTTACGACCTTTGACCGAAAAATTGGACGTCTTATCGTCGAAATTTTTTCGTGAAACTCGGATATATTGTTGGCACAGAGGAGAGCTACAAGATCATATAAAAATTTTCAATATCCGGCAAAGTTGGCGGCGGCGGGTGGCGGTTGGCGGTGGCGGGCCGATAGACGAGACAAAATTGCAACACTTAATAAAAGTTAGGTATTTTTTTGCCAAATTGAAAATATTGAGTTTTATTTGCAATTAAACAAAAGGTGGTGGTTTTTTATGCAATTAACCCTATTTTAAAACCACAATTTATACCCTCAACAAACCCTAACATCATCGTCTTTACTAAGGAATAGTCAGGGCTTGATTTTTTATGAAATAATTTGTTCAAAATGAGTTATTTCAGTTAACCATAGTTAATTTGAAAAAGTTGGTATGGTTAGTTGTTAGTGGAATTTTAAGAATGTATTAAAATAATATTTAAAATAAAATGATTAAAATTGATTTGATGTAAAAGTAAGAGAAATGATTGAAAATGATTGGAAATTATATGTAGTTAAAATTATGTGAGTAGATGAATAGTGAATTAAAATTGATGTGATGTGTAAGAACGATTGATTTGTATTATTTAATTATATTAATAATAATAAAAATAGTGGAATTGCGTTAAAGTTGAGTTAGATTTTGAGTTGAAATAAAAATGAGTAAATTTTTTGGTAAACAATCAAGCCCTCACCCACTAACTTGTGTTGGTTTTTACTTTTTTTTTTTTTTTTTTTTTTTTT